CATCCATCCATTCATCCATCTGTCCATCCTTCCATCCACTCACCCATCCAATCCATCCATCCATCCATCCAATCCATTCATCCATCCATTCTTTCACGTGACCCGTGTTTGATGAGCATGTGATATGTGGGGTGCTGGGGACACAGCTCTGGTCCTCCCTGAGCTCACGCTGTACCCGCCCACTCTGGTTCACTCATTCATGCAGGCAGCTGTCCATTCATCCATTTGCCACCAGGGCTGAGGTCCCAGGTCCGCTGATCCAGCTGGAGGGTGGCCAGGACAGCCAGCAGGTTACCTGCGTCAGGGTCAGTGGGGAGGCTGGCCGCAAGCCCTCGGCCTCTGTCTTGACCTTGCTGCGCTTATGAATGACGATGGGGTTGACGGTGCTGCTCACAGCCGACTCGCTGCTCGGCTTGTTCTGAAGGAGGAGTGTAGGAGAGCCCATCACACAGGGGCAGGGCGAGGACATGCCAAGTTCTGTTTGGGCTTTACTTCTGGGATCCTCCCCACATAGACTGGGCCAACATTGGTGTTTGAAGTTTCAGAAGCTGGCTCCCCGTACTTGGTCCTCTGGCCAGGGGCACAGCCAGGGAGAGTCCAGAGCTCGGCCTTCCAACCCCCCACCTCCATGGGAATGGAAAAGAAACTCTCTGGGAGATGCTGGGCACCATCACTCCTGTTCCAACAGCCTCAACTACTCAGCCCTCCGAAGCATGACAGCAGGGGCAGCTCGGGGTCTGTGGAGAACAGGGCCCGGCCAGCCCAGGGAGCAGGAAAGGGAAGGGCCTAGTTCTTTGGGAGAAGGGGGCTAGAGCCATAGTGTCAGGTGGTGACAAGAGCTGACAGCCGCCGTCTGGGGGCAGGCCCCAGGAGGCTGCCTGAAGTCCTGGGGTGGAGAGAGAGGGCGTCCTGGAAGAGGGGCTTTTCTGGACAAGGTGGAGTCTTGCCTCCCTCCCAGCACGTGGTCACATCTGGGCTGTGCCCTGCCAGGTGGCTGGCCTGGACAATCCCTCCACCTCAAGAACGGTCATCGTGAATGCTAACCAGGATCCAGGTCTACGCAGGGCTCTGTGCACACAAGCTCATGTATGCGCACAATGAGCCAATTAGGCAGCAGGCCCCACTTGGCACATGCGTTAGCCCAGGCTGGAAGAACTTTCGGCGAGTCAGGGTCCAAAACACAGTAGGACTGATTCCAGAGCCTACGCCTCTCCGTTCTCCAATATTGTCTCTATAATTCCATTTCCTCATCTGCAAAATGGGGCTTCCCTCACCAAATACTAAAGGCACCCACTGTGTGCGGGCACCGTACCAGCAGGCCCTGCCACACCAAAGGTCTGCTGGAGAGGTCAGATAAGATGGTCTTTTGTAAACTTAAGCTCTAAGACTAAACTGTACAGAGTACTCTGTCTGCCAGCCTCCGACTTCTAGCCTCTCTCTGTCTACTCATCACATTGATTAGACAGGTGACTGCGGAACTTATCGGCTGGCTACTTGCCAAGGAAAGGTGAGGGTGTCAGGACCCAGCCCCGGCCTCCTGACCCGGCATCCAGCCCTTTTGATCCCATGGCCTCTGCCCAGCAGACATCCCACCAGCCGGACCTGTGCCCAGAGTCCTTCCACAAGTTCCTGGCGGGAGAGGGCAACGATCAGCCCTCGCGGGATCCCAAGAGCCCGGTGACCCACCCTGTGCACCCATCTACCTGGGTGCTGTGGCTTGGACAGTTACTGCTGCTGAGCTGCGTGGCTGTGGCGTTGAGAGAGGCGAGGGGCATGGGCTGCTGGGTCAGGAAGGTGGGCGAGGGCTGGATCAAGGGCGGAGTGTGTCCGAAGGCCGAGCCCAGGCCCCTCTGCTGGCTCAGGATCTGCTGGTAGGCCACCGGGTTGATGGGGTGGGGGAAGGTGAAGGCGGGGCTGCAAAGAAGAGCAGACAAGTCAGGGATGGAGGTGGCGGGCAGAGAGGACCCTGCCAAGGCCTGGGAGGGGAGTGTGGCTCACCTCACTGCCAGCAGGGCTTTACCTTGCTCAAGAGCCAGCAGGGGCTCCCCATTGCCTGCCATCTCAGGCCTCCCCTTCTGTGCTCACCCCCGGGCCCTGCCCCATGATGCAGCCTTTGCTCCAGCACGCTGGCCCCCAGGAGGAGCCAGGCCTCTCATCCCCACACCCCGGCCCTTCACCGCTCTGACGCCTGAGAGGCACCCCTGCATCATGACTCCCGGACTATCTGAACCCCACTGGGCCCCTGAGGCCGGTCCTGATGCCCCCTTGTCCAGGAAAGGTGCCCTGGGGCCTCGGGCTCACATGGTCCCCTCTCTTCTTTCACTTCTACTGGGGTTCTAGGCCCCTTCCTATCGTCGGTGTATGGGCCACTCTTTCCAGAACAGGATACTAAGGAGTAAGGGTGACCTCCGACCCTAAGCCATACACGGGTGGTCTGTGGCTTCCTCCTTACTTTCTCCTGCATCACTCACTTTGGGGGCGGGAGAGGGGAGCCAGCTGCCACGGCGGGAGGACGCTCAAAGCAGCCTTAAGGAGAGGCCCCTGTCACGAGAAATAAGGCTCCTGCCGACGGCCGTGTGAGCAAGCCACCTCGACATGAGTTCAGTCAAGGTGGTTGGGTCTGAGTCCTAAAGCAGCCTTGGGCTGCGTGGTGGGGGTGGGGAGGATGGACACAAAGGCGAATGGTGTCCATGAGGTTTGGGTGTGCCATGCCGTGACCACAGCGGGAGGCCTGCGTCCAGCCAGAGACCTGGCGGCACCCAGGTCACTGTCATGCCTCGCGTGGTCCCCAGCGCCGGCCAACAGCCGTGGCTGCTCCACGACACCTGCTGAAATACTAAGAAAGCCACCTTTGGTTCCATGACGGAATCTTTCATGCCAGGCCCGCTAAGCGTCACTTTTCACACCAGAAAGCGTGCCTGGGGGCTGAAGGAGCACATGGAGCCAAACTCAAACATCGGCCCATTTCAAAGTCCTCGTTACCGGTTTTGAATTCCTGAACCAGTTGCAAGTGCGCTGATTCACAAATGCAGCAACAGGTCCTGTCTTTCTCCTCGGGATGAAAGCGCGGCCCCTCCCCACGGGGCCCCCAGGCCGCCTCCCCCTGGCGGCCGGGGCTCACCTGAGGGTGCCTGCCGACAGGTGCCCGTAGGAGCCGCTGGCCGCTGAGCTGCTCCGGGAGTTGTTAATGTAGGCCACCAGCGAGTTGGGGGACGTCCGGATCATCCGCTGCAGGTCCAGGCTGGCGTCCGAGAGCGGGGAGATGGACAGCGCCCGCTTGCGGCTCAGGCGGGGCGTCACCCGTGGGCTGGAGAAACGTGACACTGTGGGGACAGCCAACCCCAGGCGTCACTGTGCTTGTAGGGGCATAGAATCGGGGGAGGGGATTGGGTGGTGGGGGGGACGGCGGGGAGAGCCTTTGAGGACGGTCTAATGAGAACCGCCGGGGGCTCTTGGGCAAGGGACCTAGCCTGTCTCAAACTCAGCTGGCTTCTCTGCAGGATGGGACGGATCCGCGCACGGTGTGGTGAGGCTGGGAGAAACGCAGGTCAGTGCTTGGGTGAGAGAATACGCTCACCGAACATAAATTAGCGCCTTCACTGTCAGTTTTGCAGAGAGCAGGGCGGGAGTCAGCAACGCCCAAGGCATGGCAGTAAAGTACACACACCATAAGCGTCGAGCAGCTCGGCGGCCTTTCACGAAGCGAACCCACCTGTGACACCAGCGCCAAATCAAGACACGGCGTGGCCGGCACCTTTCCAGACCCACCCCGAGGGCAGCCCCTGTCCGGGCTCCTGGAGCCGCCCGAGGCTTCGGGAACCTGTCACCTTCAGCACTGACGACGCGCAGGCATACCCCCCACCGCTTGCAGAAGCTCTCACCCCTCACCCATACAGAACTGCGAGAAGGGAGGACAGCCTGCCCTGCACGGGGCTGCCTTCATCCTGGGTCACACTCCCCTGCCAGGGCTCCAGACTGCTCCTTCACACAGTCCCCGTCCCCCGTCAGGGTTCTGGGTCTTTCCTCTGGACAAACAGTGGCCTAGAAATGGTCTGACAGCATCACGGGGCAACTCCCACGTGCGAGTTTCTGCTCTGTCCAGACGCTCCCTGAGCCCTGGTTTCTTCTCCGTGAAGGGATCTCCTGGTTCTGACCTCCGGGGCTGTGGTGAGGAGGAGAGTAGGTGACGTGTGTGAGCAGCACCTGCCCCACGGCAGGGGCGCCCAAATGCACGGCCATGGTCCTGCGTTTCTGGACACCTGGACTGACACCTCTTTCTGTGCCCCTTCAGTGGCCTCCTGGTTCCCTTTGGGCTGCCGGGGTTGTCCGGATACAGCTCTAGTAGCTGCCGGTGCTTGGCTGTTCCTAGGCTTGTGATGTCCTCCTTCTTCCCTTCTGTCTGTTCAGAACTGCTTGGACCCCGCAGGTCCCCCTCCTCCAGGGAGGCAGCAGGTTACCCTGGCTGCAGGGTTGGTGTGTTGGTGCCTTGTCCCCACAGTTGTGGGGACACCAAGGGCAGGGCTGATGGCCTGTGGATCTCTGACCTCCATCCCCAGTGCCGACCAGCCCGAGAAGGCTCAGGGCATGTTCAGCCTGTGTGAGTGCAGAGCCCGTAACTACCACCTGCAGAAGTTTCAGCAGAGCTCCGGCCCCACCACCTCATGCCCTAGCGCTCCCCCCCACCCCAACCCCTCCACTGCTGGGCCCTGGGGGAACCCATGCCCGGCGCTCCCCCAGCCGCTCACCCTTGGCTGGCAACCCCGGGAAGCCCCTTTCCTCGTGGGCCACAGGGATAAACACCCTCTGAGGCTGTGCAGAGGACAGATGAGGCCCCAGAATCTGTCTGAAAGGTAGCTCCAGGTCACTAGGGGTATCCTGCAGGGCTGAGCTCAGCGGGTTCCCACCACCCACACAGCAGAGCGGGAACCGGGGAACCCGGGAGTTGGCTTGACGCCTCCCATCCTCACCTCCTTCCTTCCCAAAGCTGCTGACAGGTCCCCTTTCTCCCACCCTCCCCCAACTCCTTCCAGCCCACCACTAACCCTGGTCATCCTTGAGCCCTTAGCTAATTGCTATGTGGATGGCACATGCCTCACTGCAGCCTGAGAGAGCTCTTTAATGTGTAAATCGAATCGTGTCCCTGTGCCCCCTTCTCCAGAGCTCCCCAGTGCTATTAGGAAAAAGGCCCAAATCCTCAGGGTGGCTTCTTGGCAGCGCTGTGGGTGTCCCCTGCCCACCTCTTCAGCTTCATCCTGCCCACGTCCCAGGCTCTGCGCCAGCCACATTCCAGCTTCCCCCTCAGGTCACCTGCCTCTCCACATGGGGCCTTTGCACATGCAGATTCCTCTGCCTGAAGTGCTCCTCCCTCTTCTCTGTGCTCAGACCTCAGGGGGTTACCACCTTCCCAGGGAAAGCATCCTGACATCCTCTGTTGGGAAGGTTCCCCCGCCCCAGTCCAAACAGGTGTCCATCGGCAAGCCTGCATCTGCTGGTGTGGTTTTCCGGTGGCTTCTGGCTCTCCCGCCTTCAGGCGCGAGGGACTGGCGTCCTTCCCCCCTCACTCCACATGGATGCACAGACAGCGGGCTCAGTGGTGAGCCCAAGTGCGAGATGGTGACGGCTGAGCCACCCGCACAGGCACGCTGTGGTGAGGGAGAGCAGAATCACAGCCACGGAGAGTCAATATTTATGCACCGCCTGGAAGGTGCTAGATGCTGTTCTAAGCGCTCAAGTGTATTAACTTGTTTATCTCTGAAGTATTAAATAGTGTAAAATTGCCCTAGAAGGAAGGGGCTGTTATTACTCTCATTTTACGAATGACAAAACAAGCGGCTTGCCCAAAGTCGTACAGCCAGGGGAAGTACAAAAATGGATTGGAGGTCAGGCAGTTGGCCGCCAGACCCCTCGGCACACCGCCTCTGCCCAGGGTGGGGAGGCGAGGCATCTTTCGGGGAAGGATGTCCTGGAGGGTTGGGGGCTGGGCTGGACAGACACACATACACACCATGTGGGGACACACAGCTGCGCTAGCCAGCCACACCAAACCCAACACTTAGTGATCGCATTGGAGCCCATGACTCAGCCTCCTGAGCCTCTCTTTGCCCATCTGTACAGTGGGGGCAGGGCAGCTTGGCTTGCTGGGTTATTGTGAGGACCACCCAGAGACCACGGAAGTGCCTAAAACCCAGCGGACCTTCTAAAGTGAAACTGAGAGTTCACGTAGCTTCTTTAGGGGCGAGGAGGATGGTTTCGATGGGCAGGGTGAGCCTAACGCTAATACTGCAGTAAAGGACAGCACGTCTAGAAAACACGATTGGGCCACATAGCAGCACACCCACCACTAAAGCATTCACTCATCTGTCCATTCACTTGGGCTCCTTTAGGCTTCTTTGTTCTTATTTATTGAGTTCACTCCTTGTCAATCCTTACTTCGAAGGAAAATCAAAGATGCAAACGTGAATCTTCCCAAAGATTCCTATTACTTACGGACTGAGTGGCAAATGGAGAAATATGAGGTGAGGGAAGATCTAACATCATATAAAGGAAGAAATACACTTGTCTGTGTAATACATTTTTTTAAAAAGATTTTGTGGCTAATATTTGGATTCCCACCCTCTCCTGTGCCCCTAACAAGAGGAAACAGGCCAAATCTGACAGTGATATTCATCTCTGTTATACCCACCCCTCAAGGGAAATATATTTATTAATGCACCTCTTCCCTTGATAAATTACTAAATAGAAAGAAAATCCTGGCACTCATTTCCTGTGGCTTCTCCGGTGATTTATGACTGGAGAAGGGCAGAGTCATGGCATCCATTCATCTGTGGATGAGTCTGTGCTGATTTCTGTCAGCCGCCAAGTGACCGGACACCAGCCGGCCTTCACCTGGGCAGACGCCGCCCGATACGACCCACTCCTGTTGCCGTTGGCATCTGGACCCTGTTTCATCCACTAGGTCTTTCTTTTGTTCGTTCGTGTGTTAGTTCATCCTCATCCTCCCATCAGCCCCCTGTCAGTATTGAAAGCATGCCAGGCGTGGGGCTGGTCACTACAGAGGCTGCAAGCAGGGAGGACCCTCAGCCCTGGTCTTCTGTGAAGCTCACTGTCCAGGGGAGTGATAAAAGTAGTAGTCACAGTACTAGGCCACGTTCGCTAGGTGCCTGGGGTTGCCTTAGCTAGGTCCAGAGTGCCCAGGGACATTGCTGCTTTCCCGGGGGCAGCCGGGAAGGGCAGGAGATTTGAGAACAGGCCCTGGGCCCAGGCAGACCACGTTCTGACCCTGCCTGACTGCTCTGAACTGGACCTCCCTGAGCTGGTTCCTCACCTGGAAGATGGGCCCAAAGGACCCACCTCAGGTCCTTTGGTTAGTGCTATGGGCTAGTGAGCAGCATAACACCCAAACTCCAGGTGGACATCCTGAGGACCCAGGAACCAGGGCTGAGGGCAGCAGGAGGGATGCAAGGACCTGTCTCCATGGGGCCTGGTCAGCGCAGGTGTGACACCAGCGATGGAGAGAGCTGCGACCCAGCCCGACACCCCAGGAGCCTTTTCTGGGCCAGATGCTATCCTGAGCATGGGGCTGGGACACGCCTCCCCTGGGGACAGCAGGACCCAGCCTTGTGGCCTGACTCGTGGGCTCTGAATCCTCAACCGGAGCATTCCTGCATATCCCTGCCCCAACCACTATCTTCTGGACTCAGCTGAGGAAATGCTCTAAGGAAACCCAGCTAGAGGACCTTAACCTGCCTTACACTTAGCTGTCCACAGCCCCCTCACCCCGTCTTATGGGGGAAGTGAGAACACAGGCTTTGGAGCCCAGAGGCTGACCATTTCCTAGTTCTGTGATGCAGACAAAGAAACTTCGGGCGCAGGGCCTCAGGTTCCGCGCCTGTAGAGTGACTTCATAATGCTGATCTCTCAGGACTGTGAGTGCAGGCTCACCAGATGAGCCATACACACCAGTCAGCCTGGGCCTGCACCCACACGGCGGTCCTGCCCCTCTGGGCCCTGCAGCCTGCTCTCCTCTGCCTCAGTCTCCCTCCTGTCTGCAGGCTGGGCACGGCCTCCCTGCCCGACTGAGGCCTCCGACAGTCCCTCCACAGCTCCTCCTGCCTCTATGTGGTGTGATCAATGTAATTGGTTTCTGAAAACCCCCTTGGACCCACAGGCGGCATAAAGAACGGGCGTCAGAATGGAGGTGACATCCAAGTCAAATTAGTGTCAATATGACAATAAAATATACAGCTCGGAGGAAATATGGGCTGTAAACAGACAACATTTCAATCGGAAACATTTCAATCTTCTCAATGTGGTGGGAGGAGGA